TATGCCCGAGACAGTCGATGGCCAGGGGGTCGGGCAGTGGCGGGTTGGGTGTGGGGTCGGCGCCGGGCAGTTGTGACATCATAATGTCGGCGCATTGGACGCTGTGTTTGGTGTGATTAACACACGTTTCATTGGCGTAAAATGACTCGACGTTTGCGAACCATTCGCTTAAATCTTGCTTTTCTTTGTCACTGCAGTCGGACTGTAATTAAAAATGATTTTATTTTAACGAGCATGATAGAATATTAATTTATAAATAATAGGTTTGTGTAACTACATCTGTGTATCTGCCTAGTGATTATAATTGTTTTATTTTAATTTTATATGATGATAGTTTAGCTGAGGCTAAAATATTATTGATATGAGTGTGTTGTATTAATATAAACATTTTACAATTTGTCCCACCATGTTTTTTTCTCGGTAACATAGATAGACACCTATAGAAGTTTAAATGACAGTAACTTTACCTTGTTTAAAACATCCATGCTGCACTCGAAATGGTCCCATTTGGCGCAACATGAATCGGCCAGTGATGAGCTAGGCGATATATTCCAGTACTCAAGGGCCTGACTCTGACATAGTTGTATGTCTCGGTCCAAATGGCTCAGACAGTTAACGGCCTGTTGTGTATACAACGGCAACGTATGGTTAATTTGAAAGCCATTTATAGTATTAATTGCGGTTATTATTGATAATACCGTTAATATTATGTTTAANGTTGTGTATACAACGGCAACGTATGGTTAATTTGAAAGCCATTTATAGTATTAATTGCGGTTATTATTGATAATACCGTTAATATTATGTTTAAATAATTCATGACTTATTTTTTAATGTTGTTTTTGAACACAATGGAAAAATGCCTGAAAAACACACCCAAAATTATCTACACTTTTTTTATATGTGTTTTTCTTGTTATCCATGTATATATTTCCTATGGGTTTTGTAATAATAAAAGTTTTTTATTTGTTTAATTTTAACGCTTTATCAGCGGTTGTCGTGAAAGTATTAAAAACTAAAAGAGATCGCAATTAATTATATCAGTGGTAACCCATGGCATAGCACAAAGTCCAATGGATTTAAATTACAAAGGTATTATGTCGGTAATAAAGGTACAGTATATACGAATAATATAACATGTAATTTTAATCACCCTTTTAGTTTTTCTAGAAATAATGTGTTTGTGATGCAGATATTTTAACTAAAAGGTATTATCTATGTGTATGACTGATTTGAGCACCGGTATGCAGACTGTAGACACTATGTAAACTTACCGTTTATACAAATACCATAATTAATTCAATAATTTTTTGGCAGACAATAGCTAAAGGTTTGTTTTTTAATTACCTATATCTTAGGTATAATACTTATAAGACTGTAATTTTATAATAATTTTAATCAATTACAATATTTATCATTATATTTCATTTAATTATTGGTTAAAGTCAAACATTCACAACTTTTAAACAAATAAGTTTATTTTATTTTTATAATAATTTAAAACTTTTTTAAAATTTTGTGTTATTTTGTTTGTTGTCTTGCATAACATTTATTTGCATTATTAAATCATTTTATGTAAATATAATTTACTGTTAAAATGCATAATATTTTTGTGCATGTTAATATCATTTAACATTAGTTAAAATTAGTTAAATATGTTAAACTACCGGCACCTGTGACTTGTAATTTAACATGATAGCAATTAATCAATAAATAAATAATAAATTAAATATTCAGCTTTTGATAACCCTGGTGTTTGATCATGGCAAACTGACTGTCGTGTCTCAACTGGCGCCTTATAATAATACACTGAACAACAATTATGGTGAACAACACCAGCGCCAACAAAAGCATCATGAGCAACAAGTATGGAAAAATGGCCATCATATACTCCAGCATATGATTTTCGTGGTGCTCGGTCAATTTAGCTTGACTATCACTACCTTCAGTGCCCAGGTTGTTTGGTGGTTTAACCAGATTGCTATCAGCTTCACCTGGCACGGCTAATGGACCAGGTTTGTTGTTGCCTACCGAATGAACGAGTTCAATTGTCATATCGGTCTTGATGTTTAAGTTGGACTTTTGGGCCTCGGATAGCGAGCACTCGGAGCTGTGGTGTATGTAATCGGCGCACCAGTAGTCCTCCAACCAGTCCTCCACCTAATTATAATTCATAAACATAAAAGTTAGTTAACTATTTATACGCATTAGGAAACATTATACGTCAATCTAGCTTAACATTGTTATGAATAAATAATTATCTGTTAATTATTTCATAAAATATAAATGAATAATTAATGAAAAAATAATTAAAACTACATAATATAAACAAGAAAACTTACCAGTTTAAAATACTCCTCGGTCGGGACCAGCTCGATGTTATTGCAGCGTATAGTAGCAATTTCATCGAGACAGTCAATGTCCTGCCAGGCGGCGCAACATATTTGCTTCGGGGTGGCAATGGATACGTTAGAAATGTGCCAGGTCATTTCGGCCACTTGGGCGCACTCGGCCCTAATGTCCTTGTTGATATTCAATAGGCAATCTATTGCTAACGGTTCTGGCAGTGGTGGCTGTACGGCAATGTCCGGCTCGACACCCCTGAGCACAGGCACCATACAGTACGCCTCACTCTCGCTATAATTAGCGCATGTGTTTAGGCCCAAATCGGCTTTTAACTCGAGGAAATAACGTGCCAAATCCAACTGACCACGCTCACTGCATTTTGTGTCGGTCTATTATTAATTGACAATATAATTTAAAATTTTGGTATATTACATATCAATTAAATAATTAAAATTTGCTTACCAAGTTCATGTAGTCGAGCGCGCAATCAATGTAGTACCATTCAGCGCAACAATCGTCGCTTGGTGAACCTGTAGATTGACCATATACCGCTTTGGCCCGGCGCTGGCACTCATTAATACCAGCGCTTAATTTATTGAGACAATGATAGGCCAATGGGCTATACTTGGGTCCATTGGTATTCTTAGGCCACAACGTGTGTGCGCTAACCGTCACAATATAAATGAGAAAAATTGTGATCACACTACTGGTGAGTTGCATTGTTTAATTCAAATTTACATTCAGGTAAAATAAATGTAATTTTGTATTTAAATTATTTCTAAAACATAATGTTAAAAAATTTTGAGTTAATTAATAAAAATGAGTTTAAAAATTGATTTTTAGTTTCACTAATAAATGTAATGAAACTATTAGTGCTTTACTTTAGATATGAAATGTTATAATTAATAAGGTTACCATAGTGACTAATATGGATTTATTATAAAAACATATAGATTACTTTTCTAACAGCATTTATTATTCGCGGTATGTGCTATTGTAGTACATTTGTCAAGGTGATGCATGATGTACAATGCAGAGATTGGGATCTTAAGTATTTCATAATTTAATTCCGGTATAAGGTTTATCGATCATAGTCTAATTCGTAACAAGTACGATTTCATGTAATTAATAAACTGCCTTATGTAATTATAAAATAAATTCTTTTATAATGAATCATTAACATGATAATTCTTCTTAATTCTTAATAAAAACATATTATATAAATAAACAGTAAATTTTTGTATATAAATTATTTTAAATTAAACTGCTTTAAAATTTAATCTATTAAGGTGTAAGAATCAAGCAATTTTAATCAATACACATTTTCATTGTTATAACAGCATTTATAGCATTTTTATTAGCAGAATTCATTTTACAAACCTTCATGTTTATATTTCTCTAGCAAGCACAATAATTTAAAGCCCAAGCATGTTTTAATTTTAAAAAATAAATATATATTCTAAAATATAGTTATTCTATTATAAAACAAATATTAGCTGCATAAATAGTCATTAATAATTTTAATGTTAGATTATTAAATAAATAATTAATTATTATTATTATTATTGTAAGCATTTTACTGTTAGCAAAAGCGCAATTAGCAAATAAAATGTAATTATCACATTTTATTATAAATTTTCTGGTAACCTTGCTCACTCGTACCATTCAAAATAGTACCAGCGTTTTTTAATTGATGTCTAATCAAATAACACTGCATGGCTATTACAATCATTAACACCAGGGCCAACATTGCCATCAAAATCATTAAATATGGTAATATTGTGATCAGATATTCAAGCAAATGGTGATCAAAATAAATTGATTGTTGATCATCATCGTAAACGGGCATGACCATGTTTGATTGATCGCGTTTAACTAGGCCATTGTACCCAACAATACTGATTGCCTGACCACTTAGGGTCAGTTTACTGTTGACGCCATAATTTACATTGTAATCATCCATTGAGTTGTTGATCAATAGGGGGTCTGAGCTGTCGGTTAGCACCGGTATCTCATCTACCATTTGCTGGCAAACAGCGCTTCCATAGGTATTGTCTTCGCATTCAACCTCTTGAATATACTCAATAAACTAGATTAAATAGATTGGTTATTTAAATTTTGATTTTAAATTTATTATTGTAATTAGTAAATCATTCTAAAAATAAATTATCTAGATTTATTTTAATATAAATTGTAGTATAATTTAACCATACAACAAAATTAGAATTACTTACTTGATCAAAATACTTATTCAAGGCTTTGTGATCATTGTCAGCACAGGTTGAGCTAGCTAGATCACTGAAACAATCAATGTTTTGCCATAAGGCACAACATAATTGTCGCTCAGTGCCATTAATTGTGGTAACATTAAATTGTCGCTCAGCCGATCTAGCACAATCTAACATTGAATCAAGCTCAATCTTGTTTATACAATCTTTGCTGAACGGATTGGGCACAGGGGGTCTATCATCAGGTAATAGTATGTTGTGCAGCACCGGTAGGGCACATATAGCACTGTCCCGTCCATACCCGGCACACGTATAGTTAGTGTAATAAATTTGCATTTGCGATAACCAATTGATCATATCGTATGCCTCAGTTTCGTTGCATTTATTAGTTGTCTAGTATTCATGTAATTT